TTCAGTATATTTCATTCCTAATTGGCTTTTAATGTAAACTAATTCAAGTTCTAATCACAAAATACAGTGAAAGCTACACAGGGAAACTTCGGGTTTTCAAGTTTAGCCCCGATGTTAATGGCAGATCGGTTCCTTCATTTCGATCCACCGGTTAACACCAACGCCGGCCGCAAAATACCGTTCACCTTACTTTCCGTTTAGTGGAGCATTAAAATCATGATTCTCATTTTCCTGGAGAGACGTTTCGACGGTTTTTGATTGAGCACATCTTGCGAACTTTTTGTCGAAATTTTCCCTTAATTAGAAACCGTTGAGAAATATGCCTCAAGGGGTTAAAAGAGAAAGAAGAGGAAAACTGCCGATTTGGTTTATCAGCTCGAGACACTTCGGCTGTCATCACGGGTGGAAAATTTCTCTTTTCACATAATTTCACCATTTTCTTATATATCTTCAATACGCACTAGTTGGACGAAAAGAACCACAGTAAAGCATTGTAATCGTTCAAAGTCTACTAACAGAACTTTACATATTCTAATAAGGGCACGACGTACATAACTAATTGAGGTCTTTTTGAATAACAATAGCTAGGTAACGCTAGGTACAACATGACCTAATGAGTGGTACCTTCGGATGTCATGATTCCTAGGTAAACTACCCACTTGCTAAATTGCAGCAGTAAAAGCCCATAGAAAAATTGGATATCTGTTTGCACCAGGACTTCGGAGAAAACGGATGAAGTTTATAAAGAAATTCAGGCTATGGGAGATACGTAATCGTTTTAGTTTAGACGCTTTAACACTAGGTACATCTTGACATCATGAAATGTAATACTGGCCGACCCTTCACTTGCAATGATTCCTAGATATAACCTAGGATGTATGTAAATGAAGAAATGCGGGATGTATGTAAGCGGTTTGGTTGAGAGGTTAGAACGCTAGTGTTGAATAATCGAGATTGTAAGCCACTCGATCAAACAACCTCTACACATCTTCATCCAAGGAGAAAGAAGATCGGTTGCATATGCCATTATGCCAAAGCCACCATGATGCCCAACAATTAAATTAAAGGAGGAACTAAGGAAAGATTCAATACTGGGCATTAATATTCCTAGGTATAACTTCGCCAAGAAGTACGAAATTATAGTACGAAAAAGAGCAGCTTAGAAGAAAACATGACCAGTGATCCCATAAATACCAAACAGGTCATTTGAGCTGGTATTTATGGAAGAAAATGAGGAGTCAAAATGTCAATTTAACGTGACAAATTTGCCACAGTTTTTCTGGCACAAACCAGAGATCCGTGGAAAAGAGTTAAAAAGACATATCCGAATGCAGTGGCCCAGTAACTACCTTAACCGAAGACCTTTTACTGGTGGAACAGCACCAAAAAAAACCCTCACCTGAACATACACTTAAAAATATTGAGACAGAAATTAGCCTATGCTGATTCTGCCAAGAAAAAGAGTAAACCTCAGTATATATTACACACTATTGTGAATGCATGATATAGAAAAGGTTTACACTCACGGACAAATAAAAGCTCAATCCAGTAAATAACAGAGGAACTACTATCAATGTTGGATTTTTTTTTTACAATGGATACCAGGAACTGGAGGAGTTCCCTCCTGAGCACTGCAGCTGTACAGCTTATTGTACTTTATCCCTGGCTCCATTTTTTGGGGGCTCGCAACACAAGTGTGAATGAGTGTTGGTGTTCTTCCATCGAAGAAACTCATTTTTGAAGGGGGTTGAGACCAGGGTCGCTGAGATCTGATTCCCTCCATTGATGAGTGCCGTGTCACTTTCTTTCAATTGCGGCCACCGGTCCCCTTAGGCTTCAGAAAAAGTCCAGAGGCGACGGTGGGGATCGAACCCACGACCACGGGATCTACTAGCCGAGAGTCTGACGCCTTAACCACTCGACTACTGCGGCCCCCATCAATGTTGGATAGTGAGCTATAACCCGTACGAGGAACATAATAGTCCCATTTTAAAGGATAGTGCAACACAGTTTTAGCCACCACATACGAACTTTACCGATATCACTATCTTCTTCAGACACGTCTGATCCTATTTTTCTATAGTACCTGTTTATTCCCCTATTTGTTCTCCCTTTTCCCTTCTTTTCTCTTAACTCCCTTAAACCCCATCCTCTCAACTCGCACTCATACGCACGTATAAAGAAAAGTGTTCAGAAGTTACCCACAATTGTTTCGTTTCTTTACCTTTTCCCACAATTCTTTCTCCGCCCTGTCAACTTAGCCTAATGGTAATTTCATTCAGTATATTCGCCCTTTCTTTTCTTCACATTACCGACTTATCTTTGTTTGTCTGTGCAGATTCCCCGCCGCTCCGAAAAATAGCCCCGTCGAAAGGGACACCGGTCAGGTGGTAATTTCGAATCCCTAAGGGGCGCTATTATCCGGGTGTTAAATGAGGAAAAAATTGTAGTGGTTTGTCGTTGTTTAACTTCCGGTAAAGTTCGGCACCGTTATGTTCGCCTAAGCTGTCGTCATGGGTTTTTTTTAGACCATTTGTTTATTTTCTTTCGTCTGGGGGATCAAATGGGACAACTTTCTAAATTATTCTATTTCAAACGTTGATTGCTAACATTTTCCGACTGTAAGTGGCTACATATGTGTTTTTAAGGTGAAATCGTAGGGTCGTCTAGAAAATTAACTGCGCAAAAATGAATAGGAATATTTATAATTTAGTCTTATTCTATTAATTTTATTTAAATTAACCGATATATTCTTTTTAGTTGGATCGAACAAAATAGAAAATACAAACCAAAAACAAACAAATGTTAATCCTCATTTTTAATAACGAATTTACTTAAGAACAGTAAACATGAGGTGGCCGCAACGGTTTAGGCGCTGACACGACGTTCATTACTGTACGGTAAAGGTCCCGGGTTCGAAATCCAGCGGCCCTGCATTCGACTTACTTACAAACATCGGCACTCCGAGGGTTGATATAACCTCTGCTGTTGCGAATTCTCGTTAAAAAAAATTAAACATTAAGAATCTAATACGAGAGATTGTAAGTGCCAATAGGAAGCCTGGTAGTGGATAGCATTACGAGGTTAAGGGACGACAGAAATATTGCCATTGCTGCAAGACGGAACTCTTTCCATAGTGCCCGCCAGATCCTAAATGAAGTACAAGACGTTTTGGCGAGGTCTTGTACGAACGATTTGTAATCATTTATGGGAAGTTGGACCCATTTCGTATGCACTTGAGACGACCTGCAGCAACAGCTCGCAACTCTTGACAGTATGGTGGAGCTCCCGGAAGAGGACACCAATTGAAATGTTGTTATGTTTACTGATGAGTCGCATTTCACAATGACTCAGTTCGTCCTCCTTTCAGTGCAGTTTGGAGGAGGCGGTGTAATGGTCTGGGCTTGGATATACACTGGAGGACGAACTGGATTGGATAACGTTGAAGGCAACCTCACCGCCCAAGAAATTATCCAGGAATACACCCCTCAAACCAGGGATCTCATTGGCAGGGATTTTCGATTTCTGGATGACAATACCAAACCTCATAGAGGCAGAGTTGTTCATCAGTGTTTATAAAACCTAGGAACTTCCCATCTGCCCTTTCCCCACTTGTCTACAGACCCACATGTGACATGCAACAACTGAGTGCAGCGTTGCAACATCTATGTACTGAAATTCCTTATGAAATTAGTGACAACTTTATTAATATTGTGCGTAACATTGCACACAGGGCATTATACGCGGTATTAATTGTTTAAAAAAATTATTGTGTCCTATAACCAAAATTATGGAATTAAAACCATTTTTGTTATTTTTCAAAATCGCTTAATTAAATTTTCCTTCAGGAAAAAAATAATAATTTCTAATAAATTTTAATGCAATTTATAATACAAATCCTAGGGAAAGTAAATACTACAAAATTGGCATCATCACTATTCATTTTTGAGCAGTTTAGATCTATTTTTTGTTATGGTATTGTTAACGCCATTGATGACTTACCGTAGAATACATATTTTCTGTCGTGGGCCATTTTTTGATTAGTTTACTCTATCAAATAATTAAATAATAAAAAAATACAGATTTTTAAAATAAAATTTGATTACTTTATTTCACTTCATTAGCAAGGGCTACAATATCGGAAACTGTTTAAAGTTTCGTCTCCTAGGGTATATTGGCAATATGATAACTGCATAAAATTTTTTCGACTTGGTGGAGATGGGTTAGGTAAAAACACATAATGGTTCCGCGGGGAAGGAGGAGCTAAGCTAGATAGCTAAGCTAAAAAAGCAGCCCTTGATGAAAAATTGATAGCTTCATTCACCTAAGAGTTTTGTATGTTATTTAACTATTTTGTATGTAAAAAGAGGGATAAGGCAGAAGAACATGGCCCAGTGGAAACATTTTAGGAAGAATACAGAAAAAGGCTCAGGAACAAAAAGGTTTTTTTCCAACACTTTCCTCTAGAATGCGAATAAGAATTAGGCATAGATCAACACTGACTGAACCCGGAGAACATAAAGCATATCTCAAAAGATTCAGAATAATTAACAACTCTCTTTGCAAATATAGTGAACAGTAAACATGAAATGTTCGAAAGCATGAGTGCAACTCGGATCCATACAATTGTTCGAAATGAAGAAAGATGGCCAACATGCGAAAAAATATTTATCCACAGGTTCCACGAAGATTTTCTGAGGAATGACACTATCCTTTCAGTAATGATCGATTGGAGTTGGAATTGTACTGGGATATTGGACTTCCAGTGATACTTAACAACACATAAGACTAATTATTAAATTGCCTGCTATTTAAATTATTTGTTGATTTACATGCATAGTTAAAACCTATGTTGTATATAACTTATTTATTAAGAAAAACAACATGTGAATTTATGCAGCTTAAGTTTTCATTGTAGAAAAGTAAATAAAAGGCTGTCACTATTAAAAATACAAAAATACGATATAATGTCAATTAATTAACCACAGTGAAATAGCAGTTAGTAAATGTAGTATTTAGGGAACGGTAACAAATAAACGCCCTTCCTCCAGTAACTCTGGAGGGAGGAAAAAGTCTGTTCAAAGCATTCTGTTGATGTGTTGGTCGGTCAGGTGCCGTTGACTATGCACCGTAGCGACTTGATTGACGCAAAACTGCTTTCCTGGCTCCAATTCCGTGGGACCGTTGTCCTTCCCTCAGGTATGTACCCGAGGCGCACGTACGACAGCCTCGAAAACTGAGAAGAGCTCAAAACGAGAAGCCACACAGCTGTGAGTATGCATTACTGTCTTTATAACCTACATTTTTGACCATTTTTCTCCGGCGACAAAAGGCTAACATAACGGAATTACAACATGCGACGGGTTGGGTAGAAAAATAAACACTGGGAGTGAGAGATTATTTCCTTTTTTTTTTGGGAGCAATTTCACTTTCCACCCAATATTCCAACTTTGATCAACTGCTACTCAAAACGTCCAGATTTAACTAGTATCTCAAAGTCACATCCTGCCGACAAATCCTTACGCGTGTCTATTGCAGAATGCAAAGCATTATTGAAAACATACGCTTATCATAGCATGAAGGACACTTTACTTATTACTTACTCCAAGAAACCTTAAAAAGGGGGCTCGAGAAGTAATCTAATTTAGCCAATTTTCTAACCTTAAGTCAAAAAACAATGCGTTTTCATAAAAACAAAGTGTACAGCTAATTAATTCTCATTACCTTCTTACCTACTCTGTGTTTAACCCACTTTTACTGAATGTGTTGAAAATGTGTTCAACAAAATTAAGATTTTTTCCCTTGGGGCATCCGGATACGTCAAATGGATCGATAGTCTCTTGACCCATTGAAAACAACGAGTTCGAAGTGGGTCGGGACCATTTCATATGCAGATGATGAGCATTAAAACAGTAGCCGATTTATGCCCTTTCATTAAAAGCCGAGATATTAAGTGTTAAGTATTAGAGAGAGTCGGCAGTTAGAGGTGATGAAAGCAAAAGTACCCTTGTGCAGCATGTATTTCAGATATTTTTATTTAATGAAGTATCCGTACAGAAAAATAGACTTTCATTTCTTGTTGGTCTTTGTAAGCTTTCTTTTTTTAAATTTACTCCAAATATCTTAGAGTTATCCAAGACCAACACTCAAGTAATCAGCACCTAACAAAAATAATATAAAGAGCCTAGATTGCCTGGGGGAAAGAAGGCCCTACTCCAAAGGCTGATCCGATGGCTTTACTTTTCAGACTGGTGTTATAGTCATAAGTATCAGACTTGAGTGGAAGTCGGTAGCGCCTTGTTGATGCACAATGTAGGGGAACACTGTTTTCAATGTAAATGTACACTTCCTTATTCAGTCTTGTACTTTTTTCACCAGTTTAATAAGTGTTCTTGGATGTTGAAAGTTGTTTTGGTAGGATTGGGGTTAATAGACCAAATTTCTTTATTATCCCCATGATGCAATAAGAAATGCAGCAGTGTAAATGTATACAGGATGGGACCAAAAACATACCCTTGTACGACGACGGATTGTTTGATACCTGAGTACTCGTTGGAGCGCGTCACGCCAACGGCACTCAATATTGAAGGCTTATCGTTTGAGGGGTCTCGAAGCCATCATAGTTTCGTAGGGCTTATTTTTGAATTCTTCACTATTTTCTGAGAAATTTAAAACAATTGAGAGCTCGACGCCACCATGGCGTCATCAGCAGTAAGTCACTACGCGATGGAAAACCACACGGGTAGTATAGAAATGATAAATGATGGAGTATGTCGTTATGTGGACATTTCAGGTCAGCCTGCCTTCTAGCTATACTTTCAGTGTATGTGTTCACTGTATAGGGATAGGGATAAAAGAGGCAGCCACAAGGCCTACTGCACCTCGACCTGAATAGATCTATTGTGCTCCCATGTTTTTTATAACTCACTGGCAAGCTTCAGGTTGTTAATCAGCCTCCTTAGCTTTGCCAGCTGCTCCTTAGTGTAGGATCTTCCTTGCTGGTTTTCTTGTCCTAGTTGCAACGACCTGCACCTACATAGACCTTCACAGAAACATAGAATGTGTTCTGCTACCTCCTCCACTTCCTGGCAGTACCTGGACAGTGTTTCTTCCGTCTGTACTCCTATCCGGTGAATTTGATTGCTTAGTACACAGTATACATTTTTCTGCATGAGCTAAGGTTGCAAGAAATTGCGTGGATAGGAAGACAGTTGCGGTATAAGAAAATATTCAAAAGATTCTAAATGCTAACAACTTTATAATTGTAATAATGTATTTAATGCTGAATCGAAATGGTAACGATACTTTTTAAAAGCCTCTCATTCTCTATAATTCGGGTGGTTAAAAAGTTAAAAACGAGATGCGAGTAGTGTGAATTTGAAGCAGAACCGTTGAGAGTATAATAGCCTTATTAAAGGCACAAGTACAGGGTGAAAATGAGATCACGAAAGTGGCATTAAGATAGGAGCGGAGACGTGCATCACCGGTAAAGGTCGGAGTCACTCAACTAATAAGAAATTCATAACGTTATGACTAACGCGGAAATGCTGAGCAATTTTCCAAAATATCCACTGGGCGAAGGCTTGGTCGTCAATTCAAATGTGTCACAGTTGTAAACACTAGCAAGTAAACCAACCGTCTGTTTTTTTTCTAGCTGAATTGTTTACATATCGAGATGTTTTAATTAGTTTTATTACCGCTGTTAAAAAAATGGACCACTCTGGCTAAAAATACCGGTCATTTACTCGAGAAAAGCACACTCCTAACTGAGTGAATTTTCAATTAAAGGAAATGAATGCCCTAGTTTGTCAGGGAATCGACTTTTTTTATAATTTTGTTATTGCACCCCTTCAAAGGGTTAAATGGCAGGCAATTTGTGACTAAACACGGTTAAGTTCTATCTGGAAAACATGTGACAACTCTTCGATTTTTTGTTTTACTCGAAAGTTCAAATCATGAAGTATTGGGTCATGAATATTTTTAAGGTCGACTTATCTACAATCTATATGTCAATATCTACGATATCCAATTTTGACATTGTGGTCGGGCACTTAGTAAATTAGTATTAATAAAATATATTTTATTAATCCACTTGGAATATATTTTTAGCATGAAACAAAGTTAATATTAGTTCACTAGTTTTCGTGGTCCGCTTGACCAATTAATATCTTTCAATTAATTAAGGTTTTTAGTTGAGATAAAAAGTCAGTGTCACGAGCGGGATTCGAACCCACGACCTTCGGCTAGATACGCCGCTACTCGACCACTTGAGCTATCGTGACTTCGATCCACTCGGACACTAACCTCCTATCTCAACCCCACCTTTTGAATTTTCCCTCCTTTTTGCTATTTTTCAAATGTCGTGTAATCTATTTGATTCTCTGTATAGTAATTATAAAATGCCAGTTGACAGTTACGTATAGGTAGTTATACAACTGATTTGAACTTAAAATAACAGCCACCAGATATAAAAAGTGTTGGTATATACTGAATAGTCGAACTGAATTTTATTGTCGATTGGTGACATTTTACTAGTTTAAATGCATATAATGTTTTGAGATAGACATAATATGTGTGTGCCTGCGTGGGTATGAATGATTATAGTCTACGTACTACTATGCCCAGTTTAAAATCAATTCATGGTTAACTTTTTGGCCTAATTGTCTTTCGTGTAAACGAATGTTCATTAACTTATTTAATTATGAATCCTGGAATAAATCACTCAGGTAATGGCATATTTGAAACAATCAAAACTGAATATGGTTCGGTGCAAAAAGCGTCTAATAGACGATAAACGAAAATAACGGTCTCATTCAGGATGCAATGTGCAAGAGTCGTTCATGTAATCCTTTAACTGATTTTGTCCAGATCAAACTGTCCTCGATAGGAGAACTTTATGTTATGCAGTTCAACGTCTATAAATTTCCAACCGCAGGACAATGTCGGCCCTCCCATGAGGCCGGCAGAGTCCTTGCTTAACTTATAACGAACATTCGCCGAGGGACCACGCTGGGTGAGATACCGTTCTTTTGGAAGAATGGGACCGAATTCCATGCGAAGCGATACGTCCTCCGAGACCGTGCAGAAACGTACGAATCGGCGGAAATATTGTGAAGCACAAGAAGGTTGACGTTTTATTTATTTCTTCGCGCGTTATTCTGCATCCTTCGGGTCGAAGAGAAAACTAAAATTTCTGGATATGTGACCACACAGACGTTATATCGAAAATCAAATATTCCGCTCACTACATTCAACATCGGTGCTTGTTTATGTTTTTTATAATCGAACATTTAGTTTGATTCAGAGGTCTTGTAAATGGGATAAGTAAAACGCTACTCGTTTAACTTTAGTTCTGTCTGTAATATAAGTTTCCTATTGATCTCTACAGGATGAACATTATGTTGGTCGTTTTCAGTCATTTTGATAACGACGATGTTTTGTTCTGTCGGACGCGTTTCCCCTTCAATCCATTTTCAGTGGTGAGTATCAAGAAGTCAAGAAAAGATATATGCATTTTTTTTGTTCTCTCTGTCTGTCTGTCTCTGTCTCTGTCTCACTCTCTCTCTCTCTCTCACTCTCTCTCTGTCTATCTGTCTGTCTGTCTCTCTCTCTCTCTCATTAATTCTCTCCTTCCCTATTTCCCCTCTCGCTCTCCCTTACCTATCTCTTTCTTTTCCCTCTTGTCTCTCCTCTCTTTCACACTTTCTCTCTCTCTCTCACACACACACACACACACACACACACACACACACACACACACACACACCTGTCCTGGGCCCTACCAGGTCGTTGGTCATATCCAATACGGCATCAGCCTTAACGCCTACCTCAGCTCATCAGCATGGCGCAGCATATTACTTTACCGCACATGAGGTTGATGCATTAAGTGCTGCCTGACTGTTAAAGAGTATGGATTTCTTTTTAGAGTTACGTCAATTGTCATGCCTAATAAGGCTTCAGCCACTCCTCCTTCAGCTTTAGCAATTCAAAAGTATGGATGGTTGTCTTTGTAGGGGCCTATTGGCAGATACTCTAGCTTCTCCTTGAATAAATATGTATGTGTAGCGGTAGAAGGTAGTAATACTAACAAAGCTGCATGTGGCACTGTCCTCAATGTTCCAGTGCAGTGTAGCCTTTGATAGTAACTTGTTAGCTTGATGATATTTAATACCATATTATATAAAATATATAATAAGTAGATTTGCTACAAATTAGATGCCAAGAAGGGATCCATTGTTGCACAGTCACTGAATTGATATGTTTTCCTGAC